AATATTCTGATATTTGAGTGCTTACAACTTTCTCCATAACTTTACTAAAGGAAGGCAGGAGGCTAATTGGCCTACTGTTAGGCCCGCTTAAACGAGCCGTTGCCGACTTGGGCAGCGGGGTAACCTTAGCTTTTTTCCATGCCATCGGATACACAGAAGTAGCAAGTGACAAGTTTATAATGTAGGACATATGTCCCAAACATAAGATATGGAAGCTAAACGTTCCGCTGCAGCGCTATGCGCTGATATTTAGAAAAAGACCTATCGGCGGCATGGTGGCATGTTACATCTTATCTTCTTCTAACTGTTCCAGACCACTGAAATCAGGGCGTTGGTTTTCTACTCCATTCACAGACCGCCCACGTCCAATTTCTCTCAACACTGCCAGCTTTCAGTTGCCAGAACAAATGTCATCAAGTTCACCGAGCGAGAATAAACATATTTCCTGTGAGATCCCATCGGCAGGTGATAGGGCCTGGGCAGTGACATGTACGTGAGTACACTGCATAATGCCGACGGCGGTGGGAAAATATGCCAAAACAAAAATAAGACGCCACCAGCGACAACGCCAATGTCAATTTTCGAACCACTCGCGCCTGTATGTCCAACTGTTTGGTCCAGATTAACGCAAGAAAGAAACCTTAGAATGTTGATTCACACACAAAAAACTTCGCTTCATGGGTCCCATACAGTGACTGTGCATGATATCAATATGCAATGCCGGCATCCTTTGAAGTAGCTCCAGGGTATGCCGACCTCTGCCAAACGATCCAACATATTGAATATACAGACATTTGTTATAGCGCTCTCAATCGACCGAATGTAAAGATAGACAGTGAAATGGATGTCTACCTTCAATAGGATTATACCACACAAAACGAAAGCCTCTCTATGCTTCTATAGGAGCCGTATTTAACTATCTTGTTGCATGCGATGTTTTCGACTGCAGTTTTCCAATGCTGAGATAAATGGCACCGCCTTTAAACTTCGCCACGTTCGCCGATACCAAGCAGTTTATGTAGCTACATATATATATCTGTATCTTTAGAGGCAAAATCTGTCGGATTTGCATATGGCTTAGAAACTGCATGATGTAGAAAATACATGCATAATGCTGAAAAAATAACGTCACTGGGCAGACTGATAAATACTGCATATATCAGGATCCATGCACTATCATAATATTGATAACATCATGATCAGCTTGCACATTTATCTCAAAATACCTCAAAAATCCCTGTCCAAAGCATGCATGTGGTCTAGAATCAGCCCGCCACCGGTGTATGTAGGTTGGGGATGGGGGCTGAATGCACTCTCGAAGCAGAGGTTTGGGTTTGGGGTTATTTTTGGCGTGTTTTTAGGCTTTTTTTATCGGGGTTTGGTTGGTTGGGTTGGGTGAAAAAAAATTCCAGTGCAAAAAAGAAACCCCGATAAAAAAAGCCTAAAAACACACCAAAAATAACCCAAAACCCAAACCTCTGCTTGGAGATTAGGCTGCCTGCACATGAATGATCTGTTTTGAGCGCGATTCTTGACGGTCTACAAATCACTTCGGGAAAGATGCGCCTCCACTGCGGGGTGATGATAAATCAGGAAGCTCACAGGAGGCGGCGGCACACCCGCTATATCTCTTCTCCATAAATCTGCCGGGAAATTAGTGCGCGGGTAGGAGGGGGCGGAATCAGCTGTTGTGGGTGAAGTCAGAAAAGCCACAGCATCATTCTTTTTCTTTTCTTTTCTTATTTATGATTATACATGAAGTTGTAATTTATCTGAAAATGCAGATATGTGGGAATAATTTATCAATACATGTTGAAAAGCATCGTAAGTTGGTGAAACTACAAGTATCAGGTTTCAACCATTTCTTCAGATACTGCGTATCAAAAATTACCATATACAAACATCAAAAACAAATAATCGAAGGAATTTTAAAAAAATAAATTTGAATATGCAACTCCTACGTATACATTCAAAAGAAAGCTTAATACTGAAACCAAGGAGATGCACACCAGATACAGATATAGTTCTGTTTTGGAGCCTCAAGTGCATTTTGTGCTCTCTCATTTTCGGACAGCTAAAAATACTGAAAGCCTTTGGAGCAACGTTCAATCATACCTGACACAAAATATAGCTGTTTATGGCCCTAATTAGCCTCAGAAGCACGGAAACGAAAAGGCCTTGGATTGTTAAGCCACAGATTCCGTGACAACTCGCTGTCATGTGCAGCAAGGACAATGTAGATACGGTATGCGTCACTGCATGAGGTGTAGTGTAGTGTACACTGTCAAGGCCATCTGATTCACGTTAGCAAATTGTTTCATTCTACTATTTCAACGGCGCTACGGTGATTCTGTTCATTCTGAAGTCGAACAGAAAAATGTCTAACAGTGGGTACATGTGTCATAAAATACAGGTCACCAGCTAAACATCGGTTTTATACTAATTGATTCCTCACCTTACCGTTATACTACCTAATTTATTGGTAGTACATGGCGACTTCCGTTACTCATGCATGATTCAAGCCACGAATTATTTTTATTTTGTCTGAGCCAATAAGTCTCAATCCCCTTTCGGTGTACAAAAACTATCGTTTTCACGATGATTAAGAGTTTAATAAGCTTCTACAGTCTCAAATATCGCTTATCAAATCCGCCATGTTGCAGAGCCTCCACGATCAGACGATACGCGCACGAAAGCGGACACGCCCCTCCCTGCACCCATTTCCGGTACGTGACTTCCGGTTCCTACCCCGCGCGGTTTTAGATTTCACAACACTAGAAAGAATTTCTCCTTCTGTTTAAAGTTCTTCCAGATGTTCTGCATACAGTTGGGAAACGTGAATACAACGTTGAGTAATGCCGCAACAACCAGGAATAGCTAGGAAAGGGCGTGGCAATGAGAGGGCAATGCCCTGTCCTTGTGGACAAGCATGCCATGACTCAAGAAATAAGACAGGAAGTACATTAAAAATGCAAAGAGGGACGCTTCTTACAGGCCCTATACATGCTATAGGGTCAACAATCGTATGACTAAGCATTGTTGAAACACAATTTTAATTTAAAGACCAATGAACCGTTTGAGACCAGGTGCATTTCATAAAGATAGGATGCCATAAGAGAACTGGAGGCTCCCTTCATGACCTCAATACCCGGTCTCCTGACACCGTTAGTTCTAATGATAACACAACACCTGCATGATATCTCACAACTGTCTTACAAACTCGGGTCATGATCCCGGCTATAATATTACCCACACTGTCGCAGATTTTACGACAACTAAATTACAAATCATGCGACTAATGGTGGTATTTTTTCTGTCGTAAAATCACACGATCACGGCGTGAACCCGCAACCCGTCGCGAAGACGTGCTTTCAATCAGCCCAGAGATTTGCTTGGCATGCCTCTGTCCTAAGCTGGAAGATCTCAGAATGTGGTATCAAAATTGCACCATATGCTTTCACCTATGGACAAGATAGTGTTTCTTCCCACTGTCAGCGGATTCAACTGCGAGATCGAGATAACGACAACGGCACCATTCTGAACTGCTGAATCGTTAAAAACAAACGTGTAATATCATCAGTCCCCTCGTTTCACGGTCCATCGGAGTATCTAAGTTCAAACTAGGGTCTCCTGTGATGGGAAACATTTGGCGGTCCGGAGGTGACCAGGCTACTTACAAAGTTGCACGGCCGCAACCTACTGTATGTTGTTGCAGGTGGGCGGTGCCGTTTCATGTGCCAAAGACGAAGCCAGAAACTAGCACCTTATTTGAAAAATCGAAATTCTACAGTTCCTAATTCGTCCCAAGATTCTACCCTCTGCACTAAATGACCTGGGGAAACATGCAGTTTCCATATTATGTTTCAAAAGGCGAGTACATCTACAGACGTTGATAAACAGTACAGATTTGTATCACAGACAACAAACGAAAGGGGCATTAACCACGCCAAATTGAACTTTAAACTGCATGCCTTCTCTACAGAGAACGTCACACTGACAGAGTGCAACACTATACTTGTTTTGTAGCTGACTGATTGTGTAGAGTAGAGATGATGATCAGTAACATGATAGGAACGCGTTCAGAATACCGTGTGACAATTGGCTCAGTATGTGGGGCACTAGGCACCGTTTGGAATCCGGGGTCAGCGCTGGCGTGCAGACACATATCAAAACCACATGCTCCACTCTTTTCTCTCAGTGTAAACACGTTCCCTTGCGATTGTATCTCTCAGTGGAGATATGCACTCGGTATCGTAATGTGAGGAGACGAGGTCCTGTCAACAGGACAGAAAGTTTTGAACCACAACAGCTATCGTACTATGACAAGTAATAACTCATTATCTTCAGAACTGAATAGTACGCACTGCAGCATAACAGAGAGGCGTGGCCAAAAAGCGGAACATAGTAGTCATGTAGTCAAAATGTACAATTTGTTACAACCATACGTGTAGCTGTAGCTTAGTGATAAATGATATCTAAAATCCAGTACAAGTTGCGCATTTCTCCTTTTATCTAGTTGATGCTAGCAGCATATGTTGGCTACAGTATCGTGTGAGTTGTCCGGACTGCCTGTGACCCATGGATGAGGCACCATGGCGACCTGGCCTCCTCCCTGCTTGTGTACAAAATCCTATCCTCAACTTTATACACTTACCTGCGCTGGCTCGGCTCTGAAAGCTCACGCCACATAAACATTTATCTAAGTCCACGCCACATGAGATCAAACATCTGGACACACTCACCTATGGCGAAGAGCTTGAGCTTGGGGTCGTAGGCCATGGAGCTGGGTCGGTGCGGGAAGCCATGTTCCACGGCACGCGTGAAGCCGAAGCGCGCGCGGCTCCGCTCCAGAGACTTGGACTTGAGAAACGGCATTGTTCAGTAGCGCTGTGTACACGTATGCACGGTGCTGTCACAGAACCTTGTTCCTTTTCACACACACAAACAGTAACTTGTTCCACCTCGGTAATCCTGCAGAACTCCCGCAGTCTTCAACTTGTTGCTATGTCCTCTCTCTGTCAGTCGTCAGCGCTGTAGGGGGAGAAGAAAACACAACTCTTAAACATCGAATCAGTAGACGCAAACATACAGTTTACTCTACCTAGATGTTGTTAGCTCCTTACCAAACAAGTTGCCTCATCGACGCTGGCTCACATCATGACAAAGAGGAACCACTGGCGAAGCGAAAAACGCTGCTCGTTAAAATGAAAACACGGAAACCATGGGCGTTTCCACTGTCTCTCCGCGTTTTAACTAAGGACTTCTGACGACAGCCCTGGACATCGACCAGAAATACCCCGCTCAAATAGGTACCAGATGTGTGGCGAATGCCTGGAACATGTACGGTAGTTAGCGAAAACGAGGGAGCCAATATTCGTAAATCCGCGGCCTCAATGATGGGAGAGATGCCGAGGTAGTAGAGACTTACTCTTTACGATCTCTGTGAAGCCTCACGAAAAGCCCATAACATGCTGGCACTCCAACCCCGCGAACATGCGGAGTGACTCAACTTTAGACTGATATGGCCTGCAGCTACGGACGGGCATCGGGGGTATGTGACCCGCCTGTACCGCGGAGTCCCTCCCGTGGGCCCGTAATGAGAACCAGCGGCACACATGAACGATTGTTTGTTTGTGCAAAACCAGGTGTTCTGGGTATACACAGAACCGCGGGGTCCTGTGTCAAAAAGTTAGCCATATCCCATGAGTTCGATACCCTACATATACATATCAATGATAGAAAAACATGTTTTGAAGCCAGGGATTGCTACGTAAACAATGTTTAGTGCAGCATCTGTAAAAACTCAGGAGGAAATTGAGTAAAGCGATTCTTATCACTAGCTGCTAGCGATGCCCCCCGCCCCTGTAAAGTTCTAGCATAACGCAGAAGTTTGATAAGACATGACCTCAGTGTAAGTCCCTTGGGGCGGTAGATCTTATGAACTGGTCTCTTTCCCCTCCCCACAATAATCTTCGACGGTAAACCCTCACAACAAACATATCTTCTATCCCCAATAGACACATTTCCAACATTCCCTGCTCTGCGGCGACAAAAGACATGACCCATATGTGCGTGAGCTATGATATCTCAACTCTCATCCCAAGCTACAAGTCGTACTCAAAATGGCCACAAACCGTACCGTTCGCAGGTGGTTGTCGGTCACGTTCAAATCGCGTCCAGTTCTTATTCATAAAACACACACCGACACAGCGTAAGGACTTGTTGATGTTGGTACTAACCGTACGTCCGAAATGGAGATAGTACAGGAAACGTTGACACCCGACGTTTTAACAATTAGACATTTCTACAAGTGACACAGAACACACCCTGTCCTCGTCTGCTTGGCGTCCTTTTTAGGAGTGAACCTTCTTCCAAGTGGATGCGCTTCCTTCCCACAGTATGATGTCACCCACCGCGCCACGCCTAAATCTTATCAAATAATAGGCTACGCACAGTCCCACCCATTGGAGGGGAAAAGACCAGGGTTGTTTACGTGAGAATGGGGAGGTGTGTGCGTGTATCGGCAGGCGCAGGCCCAAATGTCAAGGTTCGGGGGAGCCCGATTGTCCAATGACCCGCCCTTGTCCCGGTCGTCTGACGGAACTATCAATCAAATCCGCTCAGGTCACGGGAGGGGGACCGATCATAATTACGTTTGATAGCATTGGAACACTAGATATTTGGGATCAAATACCAAATTTGTGATGTCTTTTGTGCCAACCAAAATTTATAATACGTCGACATTTTTCTGAAACAATGTATGGCATTCAAGGTGTGACACAACATTCCTTTTCACTGTGCAGATTGCTACTAGTATAGTAGTACGTCCTATAGATTTTTTTGCGTACAGTACATTTCTTGTGCATTATTTGTGGACGAAGATTTTGGTAAACAAAAATCAACAAAACTTCAGAATTGGTTTAAAAAAAGGGAATGTGTGGGATGTGGAAACGAATAAAAACATGGGTAAAAGCTACAAGTATTAAATAACCTATCATATAGGGGGAGGAGTGACATAGCTATAAGTGGGGGGGGGTGATATTGTACCATCCAACAATTCATTCTTGAATTATAAAACACTCACACCAGCGCTATCTTTGAGAAAATCGCAGATAGGAGATGCCAACGGTGCCATAGCGAGACGACCCGTTCCAGTCATTTAATGCCTGCCCCCTGCCCTAATTTATATCGACTGGGGCGTTTACAACTATTACTGGATCTTTAAGTTAAAATAAGACCTGTTAGTGTCAGGCATGAAACATGGAAACAATGGCACTCTTTGCACAATTTATGCGATGTTGCTGTAAATTATTTGCTGTTGTTGTTGTTGTTGTTGTTTTTCTTCGGAATCAGCCTCGTACTAATTAACTTACATGATTTATTGCTGTCCAGGGACATGCTGACAGTACCTGAGTCATGTTCAAGTCCATGCCGTCCTTACATGCCGATCCTACGCGAAATATTTTAATCCAAAACAGACAGAGCCAGAAACAACAGCGGATCAAAACCACCAGGGACAGAGGGAACGGCAGAGGTGGGAGGGGCATCACGTGTGGTCGTGTACTACACCGGAATGGCCCGAGAACATTTTCAAACCACACTTCTAATAGAAGCTTGTCTATTTTGGCAACAAGAGAGGTTAACTGGAACGTCACTACTGTAAGCTCACAGACGAGGCATTCGAAGAAACGAAAAACAAACAGTCGAAGTAGTCTAAGGGGAGATGCAGTACCTTCAAGATCCTTCAAGTATAAGCCTCGTGGCATAATTTTGACGGTCGTTTTCTTCGCCTCAAGGCAAGAAATCTAAAATATCGGCCTGACAAATTATTCTCCCCTTCTTTATATTGACTTTGTCAAACCAAAGAATTGGGGGTACGGAAGAATTACGGAAGGATATTCAAGATGCCCCATGCAGATTTGGAGATTGTTAGAAAACTAGGCCACGTCAAACCCTTGAGAGACCCTCACTGAGTACCAAAACTACCGCCTTGAGGTAGAGCGGAGAAACCGAGACCCTTGCCCTCGCTTCCTCTAAAGAAACCACATATCTTAAAGTGGTTTCCGGAAAGATTGTACCATCTAAACTCGTAGCGTACTTACATCCTTCTCAAGTCCACTATTTCCCGTCCAGGCCCCCAACTCTCTCTATCCCTCGCACCGACACAAAACTGTTCTATCCGTAAATAAAATCCAATCTCCGCAGAGGTCCAGGGCCAATTCCCACCGGCGCGGGTGTGCGCATGAGACCGAGGTAAAAATATGCCCGCGAATACTGCCAGAACAAGCCCGGGGCTCGACAGGGTCTCGTCCAATTAAGCAAGTGCTGCCTGAAAGCGTTACTGAAGATATAAAACTGGCGGGAGCGAGAGGGCTTCCAAATTTGAACTCAAGGCCCTAACCGGAAAAACGGACAGCGGGAATAGTAACCCATTCGTGCCGCCGCTTCAGTTGCCGATAACAATTCAATAAAAAGGACATGTACACCCACCTCCTTACAAAACAATGAGCACGGTGTGGTTATTATTAGTAGGGAGAACAGTTGTCCTTGCATTATTTTTCATTACCTCTATCTATTATAGTTATTATATGCTGCGAGACAATATGGCCATACACAAGTCGCTCGATGTAATTGGGGTTGAGACTGCCCAAACGTGTCCGAGGGCCAAAATGCAAACGGCGCGTCTGGCCGTCAACGTCATATTTCTACATTAGGCTAAATTGCAATGCAGACGACATGCTTGTACAGCAGGTTTATGCCTGTCCCTTGCCTCTCGCTGCTCCTGTTTATTAATTTCGATCTGTGTATCATAAATAAGGATTATAGTTGCTAGATACACAGACGCGTGGTAATAAATGATCATAAAAAATTCATGACCATTGTGACAGAAGCGAGTGCCTTCATATTTTTCACCTCTGACGTCGGGCGAAGTCTTCAGCGGATGGCGGATTTAATTATGCGTATCTGAGGGGCCACGGTCGGCTTGGGCGGTACAATGAACGAAGCCGGTCGGAAAGCAATTATTCTGGGCTTGGTGCGGCTACTTCTGCAGTCTGGACGCGCATGGAGGCTTCACCTGAATTCTAATTTGGCCTACAGTCGATAGTTTAATGCCAGGGACGGCGGGCGGCCGACAATCTTAGCGCGACGGATTTCCAATGCGCGCTGGCCATGTTTTTTTTACAACCTCAGCTATGCAAGACGAGTGGATGACACTGCAAGCTTAATTACAGAGGAGTTTATCATTGATGAAAGTATAAATCGTCCCAGACTACGGTAATGGGTGCTGATTATTGGCCTAAAGCTCTCCCACAGATTACACGATGGTTTGCTGCATTCTACATCCTTCTGTGCTATCTAAAAATCCATCCCTCTACGTCCACACCTTGTGTACGTACGAAGCCCCGCGTAGGCATTTTTTCGGCACGACTGTAACGATAATATTGGCCGGTTACAAGCATACCGACTAGACATGCACGTTAAACCAGCCCGCGGTAAAGAGCTCGGGGCTGGGCGGGGATGCGCTGAGATAATTACCCCCGTACAAAACAAACGTAAGCGAACGATCACCCGCGGTCCAACACGGGGAGGTTTGTCGGTAAATCAGGACGGTTGTTCTCACCTTTCCAGCGGCAGGTGGGTTCCCAGAACGTTCCGACGACATGAAGCTCAGGTGTGGAGAGGGTGCGATCACGTACGTCGCCGTTGACGCGTGTGTTTTTTTGCACGGTGACGCGCGCGTGTTACCTGTGCGCCCCCCGCTGTAAGCCCGATGAAGAACGCGCCGTGCCGCGAGGCGATGTTGTCCGCCCGCTTCCCAGAGCAAGGCACAAAGGGCTGCGTATGCAAATCAGCGCTGGGAGTGATAAATAGCCCGGCCGAGCCGTCCGACTACCACAGTCGGTCACTTCCACAGCTAGCGCGCGCCGAACCACGTTCTCTTGTGCGGGGATATTCTGATTTCTTGGCAGGTGATGCTATATGAAAGTTTATTGCAAATTCTTGCCCGGGGGCTAATTGCAAATTACAAAACATAAAAGAACAATGAAGTAGGGTATAAAATAACTAAAGTCTACATGAAACGTTAGTTGTCTAGAACTATAACTATGTCTAAAACTATATCTGAAGGGTTTGACTTCTCTTCTGTAAACCATGGAAGACGTAATGTCCCACCTTTTCCAAAATTTGTGGGTTTTGGGAAGTTAAAAGAAGAATAGTTTTTTCTTGGTCTGTAAGTTTAGAGAAGTTGGGATAAATTGTAGAAGTTTGAAAAGTCAATTCATTTCGAGCGTCGTTATGGAATGAACAGTTTGAAATAAAATGTATTTCGTCTTCCACAGCCTTTGCACTACAATATTTACAAATTCTTTCACATACAGGTAGCCTTCTATACCGGCCTCTCTCTATTTCCAGAGGATGGGCGCTAACTCTAATTTTACTAATGGCTGAGCGTAGTTCGAAATCTGCGATATCGAGATATCGTTCTATGTTGTACATAGTTTTACATTTTGCATAAAATCTTAACTTACCACTATCAGTTGACAAAGTATGAAAAAATGTTTGTATATGCATATCTGTAAGTCTCCTTCTCAGCATTTTCACAACATGTTCAGGGTCACGACGTGAGTTATCGGAATGCCATAAAAAGGAATATCCATTGTGATCTAATATATCTTTAACACGTTGCAATAAAGTCCGTCTACGGGTATTTGTCGGAAGGCTATGCTGTAAGAGGAGTGCGTCCCTTTGAAGGGGGTGTGAGGTTGTCTCCATTTGTACCAGTCGTAACCAGAATTTAACTATATATATACAAATATCTATATCTAAAGAAAATCTACCTAGTTCTGCTCTACATGCGATATTGCTACTATTTCTAAAAACACCGAGAATATTTTTACAGAACTGGTTGTGTACATTTTCGATAGGTGAGGTATCATGTTGCTGTTCAGTCCCCCATATTTGACATCCATACAGTAAGATTGGTTTTACACATGTGTCAAAAATCTTTAGGAGGCTACGTGGTGAGACTGATGAACGGATGATAGATTTAAAACTATAAATGGCTTTACGTGCCTTCAGTGATAACTGCTTTTTAGTCAGGGTGAAGCTTCCTGATGATGTAAGGGTTAGGCCTAGATAACAGTAGGAGGGAACGCTGTCTATTGTGTTGTTTTCAAAGTAGTACTTTTGTTTTGGAAAGGAACGGCCAGCTTTGTTAAATATAACAACTTTTGTTTTTTTCAAATTTACTTGGAGCTTCCATTTATCGCAAAAGCTACTCAATCTATTTAAGGCCGATTGTAGACCTTTGTCTGATTCTGAAAGTATTACAACATCATCAGCATACAATAAACAAGAGACATATAGATTATGTAGAGCAGGTGGCATACATTCTGAATTATCTAATTCTTTCACTAAATCATTAATAAATAAATTAAAAAGGGTGGGGCTCAAGTTACACCCCTGTCGGACACCCTTATCAGTCACAAATGGCGGTGTAAGGCCAGATTTTGTTTTGACACAGG